GAGTCGATCACACCTATCGTTGAGAGCAAGGCCGTGGCGACGCATTGTTCGAGGCAAGCGAGTGGAACTAAACACACGATCCTTCATCATTGGTGCTTCCACTGAGAGTGATTGGTTGTGTGTTTCTTTATACTTTTCCTATCAAATTCTTTTTTTCTTTTGTCCGACTTTTTTCCCCTCTTGTTCGAATTTTTTCGAATTTCTTTCCTTTTTCTTTCGAAAATTTTCGAGAGTATCAAACAAATAAAAAGAGAGTCATGACGAATCGTGAGAGGTTCGATATGCTAGAAGAAAGCGTGAGGTCCCTTAGCAACGGACAACACGTGGTCAATGAGAACATGGCAAAATTGGAGCTCATGATACACGACTTGGCGGGGAAGCTCGAGAGAGTCACCCACAACACGCGGAGGAGCCGATCATCGAGGTCGACCATGGCGGGAACGGACAGTTCGGCGTCTATCCGCGATGACGACGACGAACGGTCACGGGCGACGTGCGCGACGCGCACAACCCAACACCACGGCGATCGGAGGACGCATGACATTAGCATCATCGCGAGGAGCATGCACGTGCGAGGCCGAGGATTACGATGCCGACGTTCGAAGGAGTAGATCCGGACGCATGGTTAAGTCGTGCCATGCAGTTTTTCGAGATCAATGAGGTACACAAGTCTGAAAGAGTTCAAATTGCTGCCTACTACTTAGATGGTGAAGCCAACACATGGTGGCAATGGGTGTCACATGTTTACAAGAACAAGGGCGAGCAAATCAGATGGAGAGATTTTGAGAATGAGTTGATTACCAGGTTTGGATCTAGTGATTATTTCGACTATGATGAGGCTTTGACAAGGATTCGCCAAACTGGTAGTCTATGCGACTATCAAAAGGAGTTTGAGAGGATTGCAAGTCGGGTATGTGATTGGCCCGAGAGTGCACTTGTTGGTGCATTTGTTGGAGGGTTGAAGGCAGAATTGGCAGCTGAGGTGCGATTGGACAGGCCAAGATCGACAAGAGCCACGATGGAAGCAGCACGACTGCACGAGGATCATCTCACGGAAGTGCGCAAGGCAAGGCCGAGCGAGGGGCGCACAGACGTTCGGCGCGCGAGCGTCGCAGTCGATGATACGCCCCTACGGGCCGAGATCAAACCAGCATTTGGTGAGGGTACACACACAACAAGCAACATCCGACGGTTGACGAGTGACGAAATCTAAAGGCGAAGAGAGAAGGGCTTGTGCTTTACATGCAACAAACGGTTTACGCCGGGTCATAAATGCAAAGGTAAGAAAGTCTATTTGTTGGAATTTGAGGAAGAGCAGGAGAGTGAGTTACATGAGGAGGCCTTACTACATGTGGTCAAATGCAAGAAATGAGGCCCTAAGATGATCAGGTTCACTGCCGAGATAAAAGATATGCTGCTAGAGGTACTGCTGGATAGTGGTTCTAGCTTGAATTTTATTGACGAAGGAATAGCCAGGAAGCTGAAGTTGGAACCCAAGAAAGTCAAAAAGTTTGGGGTCAAGATGGACAATGGGCATGAACTACAAGGTAATCATATGTTTAAGAAGGTTCCAATTATGGCCCAGGATCAAGAGTTAGAGATTGACCTCTACGCCTTACCGCTTAAGGCAACTGATATCGTGTTGGGAGTACAGTGGCTCAAAATACTTGGGCCCATTAT